CTGAGTTTTGTGAAATCAAAACTTTGGTGGTAAGATAAGAGGCTTGTGAAATCAAGTTCTCGAGTTGTATTCGGATTGTCAAACTCCGTTAAGTTTGACGGGTTAGTGAAGGCCTGGGCACGATTGCTTCGGGGACTGGATGTAGGCATTTAGGCCGAACCAGTATATATCGTGTGTGCATTGCTCTTATCCTTCACTTAATTATGTTTGTGGTGTATTGTTTTTATTGAATATTCGTGAAGAACGTTTCCGCGCAAAAAAAATTGGTCTTTTGGGCAACACCTCTATTCACCCCCCCTCTAGAGGTGTGCGAGGTGTCTAACAAGTGGTATCAGAGCGAGGGATTTTCAATGCTTTACCGCTAAAAATTTAAAAAGATCATGGCCGGAAGAACATTTCAAGCCGAAGTTGCTGATGGACAATCCACGACAAGGCCACCACTCTTCGACGGTACAAATTATGCTTATTGGAAAGAGAGGATGAGAATTTTCATCCAATCAAATGATTATGATTCTTGGCTGGTAATCAAGCATGGAGAGACGGTTCCCACGAAGATTGTTGACGGGGTTCTTGTTCCAAAGTTAGAGACCGAATATACCTCAAATGACAAGAAGAACATGCAACTAAATGCAAGGGCCATCAACTTTCTATATTGTGCTGTGAACCCGGATGACTATCAGAAAATCTCAAGGTGCAAGACAATCAATGAGATGTGGAACAAACTAGAGGTCACATATGAAGGAACAAGTCAAGTGATGGACTCAAAGATCGACTTACTCACCCATGAGTATGAGTTTTTCATGATGATGGAAAATGAAACAATCGATGGCATGTTCGAGAGATTTTCAACTATCATCTCAAATTTGGATACACTTGGGAAGCATTATGAGGATCATGTTCTCGTTCGAAAAATCCTTCGAAGTCTCACACCGGAATGAAAGTCTACGGTCAACCCTATCAAAGAAGGACGAGATTACAATACATTGACATATGACGCACTTCGAGGTAAACTACTCACTTTTGAAATGTCTAACTTTTCTAGTGCAGCGGAGATCAAAAGGGATGAAAATCTATCATTCAAAGGAGTTGCACTCAAAGCTTCATCGTCAAAATACGTTGAGACAAGCGGCTCTAGAGAAAGTGACATTCTCGAGTTATTTAATGACTTCTTGCAAAATGAGCTTGAGCAATTGAATGAGAGTACAAAGCCTACTTGCTATGGATGTGGAGAGCATGGACATATCAAGGGTCATTGCCCTAATCGAAAATTCAAGAAGTCCAAATGCCGAAAGCAATCCAACTCTAGCTCCTCTTCCTCATCCGATGATGAAGTAGCAATTTGTTTTATGGCTCAAAGTGAATCCGAAGAGGTAAGTTCTTCTAACGATCCTTTTAGTTTTGAAGAACTACAAGAAGCATTTGGTGATTTATTTAAAGAATTTAAGAAAGTCTCATCTATTGCCAAAGACTTGGAATATAAAATCACCCTTTTGCAAAAGAAAAATAATATTTTGCAAAAAAAAATTAATTCCCTCAAAATTGAAAATAAGACTTTTGAGGAGACTAATTTGAAATTAAATGATTCACCTTGTTCTTCATGTAGGTCTTCTAGTCTTGAGATAGAAGCACTTAAGAAAGAGGTAGACGATTTGAAATTAGATATGAAGAAAGTTGAAAATGAATTTAGACTAAAATCTACCTCTAAGATTAAATACTATAGATCACC